CTTTGGTCAGGGTTTCGTTCACGTCATCTCCATCCAGGTCGATTGTTCAAATTCAATATGCGCTGCCATGGCTGGTCAGTGCCTTGCGCATCACTGGCGCTCAATACCCGCCTTTTTGATCAGCTCAACCCATCGCGGATTGTCTGCGCGTATGCGGTTTTCGAGTTGCTTGCTGTCCATGGGCATGACCTTGGTATTGAGGACCTGAAATCGGGCTTTGACCTCGGTGGTTGCCATGGCCGAACGTATGGCCGTGTTCAGGGCATCGACAACTGGCGCTGGTGTACCTGCGGGGGCCATGACGGAGATCAGTGTCTCAAGCGTGCCGCTGGCCCGTGGAAAAGCCTCCTGCAAGGTCGGCACATCGGGTGCACCTTCGTAGCGGCTTGCAGACGATATGGCAAGTGCCCTGGCCTTTTGGCCATTGATTTGCGCCATGGCGCTTCCAATGTCCACAACGGCGACCTGCACCTGTCCACCGATCATGTCCGTCATGGCCTGGGGAATTCCACGGTAAGCAACGCCCAGGGGTTCTGACTTCGTCACGGTAGAAAACAGTGCGACGGCAACCTGGCCGCTTGGCGAGCCATAGCCCATGCTCACAGATTGTTTACCTGTTCTCTGGGCCGCTGCGAGATCGGCGACCGTGCGGTAGGGGGAAGACTGCGACACCATGAACATCATGGCTGTGGAGCCGACGTTCGCCACCGGCGTGAAGCTGGCGACGGGGTCGTAAGACAACTCCTTGAAGAGACTGTTCGCCACAAACATGACGGACGAGCCGACCAGCAGTGTGTAGCCGTCGGGTTTGGCCTTGGCCACATAGGCTGCACCAATCGTGCCCTGCGCCCCGGCCCTGTTCTCGACAATCACCGGCTTGCCAAGGGATTGCGTCAGGGCATTGGCAAGCACACGGGTCACGGCGTCTGTCACTGACCCTGCGGGGAACGGTGCCACCAGTGTGATGGGGCGCGACGGAAAGTCGCCGGTCTGCGCAAAAGATGCAGACATGGCACCGGAAAGGAGCAGTGCCGTTGCTGCGCTGATGGCGGATCTGCGATTGAGCATTTTTTGTCTCCAGCGAATTTTGATGTTGTCTGGACAGCGAAGGTACGCTTCCCCGGCCTTAATTACAAATCAAATGAATTGAAGGATTATTCAGAAAATCAACAGTCAGTGGCCTGGCCAGGGCCCGATGCACATTCCCGGTCAGCACCAAGGTACAGGCAGCAGCGATCCCCCGTTGGATTTTTTGAACAATCATTCCGTTTATTTGACTTGTTGCACAGGGACTGAGCCCATAGGATTTCACCCGTGATTCAGTTTGCAGGCTACAGATGTCAAAACCGCGCGTGGCATCAGCATAATCACTCTTGACTACTAGTATGCATAAATATAGTATGCAAGAGATAAAAGGAGACATGATGCAGAAGATGAGATGCTTTCACCTGACGGGCTTCCGCGCACAGCTGGTGCCGTCGGACAAGCCCGTGCCGCAACCCACCGGTTCGGAGGTGGTCCTGAAGGTGCTGGCAGCCGGGGTGTGCCACAGCGATGTGCATATCTGGGAGGGCGGTTATGACCTGGGCAATGACCAGACCATGTCGTTCGAGGGACGGGTGAAGTTCCCGCTCACCATGGGCCACGAATCGGCGGGTGAGGTTGTTGCAGTGGGACCGGAGTCAAAAGACGTGAAGGTCGGCGACAAATGCCTGATCTGCAGCTGGATAGGTTGCCGCGAATGCGCGTTCTGCAAGCAGGGCGACGAGCACCTGTGCCTGGCACCGCGCTTTCTGGGCGTTAACCGCGATGGCGGGTACGCAGACCATATCGTCGTGCCGCATGACCGCTACCTGATAGACCTCAAGGGTGTCGACCCTGTTGCCGCGGCTCCGCTGGCCTGCTCTGGCCTCACGACTTACAGCGCATTGAAAAAAGCCGGCCCGCGCCTGGCCGATGACCCGGTTGTGATTGTTGGCGCCGGCGGCCTTGGCATGATGGCCATCAACCTCCTCAAGACAATGGGCGGCAAGGGTGCCGTGGTGGTCGAGCTGGACCCGCTCAAACGCAAGGCAGCGCTGGATGCTGGGGCGATTGCAGCCATTGACCCGAAAGCGCCTGACGTCGACAAACAGATCCGTGACGCGCTGGGTGCACCGGTTTATTTTGTACTTGACCTGGTGGGCAGTGGCGAAACGGCTGCGCTCGGCTTCAGGCTGCTGGACAAGGGCGGCAAGCTGGTG